TTTGTAAAAACTTCAATTGAATTTTAATAAAGTTAAAGGCATGGCCTCACCGTTAATATTTAAAAAAAAAAAAAAAACATTTATACAATATTGTATGAAGGAATACAAACCAGTACCAAGTAGTGTGAACCTATAATATATTAGCCTTTCCTAAACAGATTCTGTCAAAACTAATAATCTGTTATAAACAGTTAAAAATCGATTTATTACATCTGTTTTATAATTAATATCTAATAATCTATAATTTTTGATATTTGATAGTCTTTATATCTAGGTTTCTGATTTGTGACATAGTAATATATAAAATGTATCCAATCAAATGACATGAAATTTACTATTATTTATGTAATTAAATATTAATTTGATCATATTATATTGATGTCAATTTAAAAAACCTCTTTTTATAAGACTCTTATTACTAAATTTTTTAATTAAAATATATTATATTAATCTTTTTAAAAATCAAGATTACATGTAATAAATATATGCATATTGAATTTTTTACTTTTTATAACAAACTTTTAAACATACTATATCTAAGTTTTGTTAGAATAGAACATACTAAACTGGGTATTACACAAGTGCTTATATAATTTACAAACTTATTAATTTATTTCATTTTGCAAAAATATAATCAATGCTTTATATTTGCTAATAAGTAACTGATCTTTATTTATAATATTTTTGTCTATTAACTTTATTATAGTCTCATATCAAAGTATAAATTTTTTCTATGTAATTGTAAAGAAATCTTATCTGTTTTAATAAAATTTTAAGCTGATTTATTATATAATAATAATTAACATATAATGTTATTTATTACTCAGATTTTGAAAGAATTAATCCAATATAGACTGAACCTACTTTTTAGTCTTTTTTCTTTAGATCTACATGATTAAAGCTTGCACAAAGATTTTATTATAACTTCACCATCATCAATTCTCTTATTAACAATTCTCAGAACATTGCACAAAATATTTAACTGTTCATTTCTAGTTAAGAGTTGTATTATAACTTCATTTTCTATATGTTCTATCTCTATAGAAGCTTGAATAAGATTATTATTATTAAATTGTTGATGTATTTTTATTCTTTTTTTCTTAAAATTTAGCAACTTCTCAATTAATATTAGATTATAAATATGTAATATATCTAATGTTTGCTAAAGAAGAGATCTACATATACTCTTTTCAGACTATACATGTTTGGAAGCAAAGTGAAACTAAATAGGAAAACAAACCACAACAGCAAGACAAACAAACTTAAAAAAAGTTTCAAAGCAAGAGTACTTGTTCTTGTTACAAGAAAAAGATCTTTTAAAGCTTTTAATGATACAAAAAGCTTTGGCACTATGGCAAAAAATAAAAAACAACAACAAACGCTAATAAGAAAAATACCAAAAATATAAAGCTTATACAAGTAGAAGTAGAAGGCAATAACTCAGATTCACTAGAACATGTTAACAAAAACAACCCTAGCTGGGATGAACAAGTAGTTCAAGAAACCAAAGAACTTAAGAAAATAACAAATATATATAAGAAAGAATTTAAAGAAAATAGAACATATGTGACAAAAAAAAAATCTCATTGGTAGAAAAAAGTGACAACATAGAAACACTCATGGAACAAGACAGCAATACTTTTACACATAATAAAAAGGTTATTGAAAACAACACACTTAATGAAAAGGTTCTCGAAATTAGTAAATATAACAAAAATAACAACAAAACAACAATATATAACAAAAAAGTTTCTGAGACTAGTACAGATAACAAAAACAACATGAAAACAACAACTCAAAATAAGTTAATGAATGAACAAGAGGACTTTATTTCAGAAAGAAATATAACTTCTAGCTCTAGCAGAATAACTGAACTATTAACAAAAAAATGATCAAGTCTTTTTTTTAAACTTAAAAGAGACCAGTCAACTTACTCATTCTTTTCTTCTAGGAACACAATTAAATCAAAAAATAAAAATGCCCTTATCATAGATATACAAAGCCTACAATGCTCTTTTAACAAAATTATATTATTGTTATTCGAAACTGCTAAAAATGACATTATCACAGCTAAACAACATCTTACTAAAGAAACATGATTACATCTAGAAATCATCTTCACAGATAGAGAAAAACCAAAAATCTATGTAACAAAAGATGTTAAAATTTTTAACAGAACATATTTTGGATATGTTCCAATAGATATAAGGAAATTATTCTTACTAGTCAAAATCAGAAACATCCTATTAAGTAACAAGAAGAACTGTCAGACTCAATCAAAGATGCTTTTGAGAATATAAGTAAAATAGCATCAATTAAATTTCTGTTAATTGAAGATACACTATACCTAACAAATCAGTAGATCATAATTTTTAAGACTACAGAAGATTCATTTTTAAAAGATAAAATACTAAGGTTTACTTATATTTGGGATAACAAGGTCACAATAGAGTAAAAAGCAGCAGCAAAAGTATACTATTTTTGCAAAAAAGAAGGGCATATTAAAAAGGAATGCCAGCTATTCCAGGAATCAGTAGCCCTCCATCAACAATATCAAGACTTCAAAAAAAGAATCAGATCATACAGCAAAGATAATTTAACAAATATCAGATCAGAACAAGAATCTCATGCAGCTAATCTTGCTAATAAAGAAGAAAACTCATACTTGCAAAAAAATATATCTATTACTGATAGTGCAGGCTTATAAGAAAATGATTTAACACAAGAAAATCAAAATGGGCCTTTGTTATCTTCAATAAAAATAGACAATAACAAAAGAAACTTTTTACTAAATAAAGATAAGGACCTCTTACTTGACTCAGTACTAGCACCCTGCGATGAACTCACTGCACTATATTTTAATGCAGAACTACAAGCAGAAAACAAAAATACAGATGAAACATTACCTATAATAGAAGTTGACAATGAGAAGGCCTCTATGTCATCTTGTAAAAAAGACAAAGATAAAAAAGAAAAGAGCTTACAAGATAAGAACCAATTAATGCCTAGCTTATACAGAAAACAACACAATAAGAGACTGTCCTCACAGACCTAATTGGGTTAAAAATTTTGTACATTTATTTATCTTCAAACTTTAAACTCAAAATTACAACTTTGAATATAAAAAGACTAAATGATTGAGGCAAACAACAAAAAACATTAACACTCTTAAAATCCTACAATTTAGATTTAATAATAATACAAGAAACTAATCTCAACAATGAAAATACTAGGAACTTTTTAAAATACCAATGAATATACAACTTATTCTGGTTAAACAAAGTAGCAATTCTGGCTGAAAACAGAAACATTACCTTTAAAAATATAAAAATACACTGTAATAGAATTTATTTTTTTTCTTATATTAGTATATATTTATTTTTAGTTATATATTATATTTTATAATTTTCCTAATATTTTTACATAGTTTATAGATTATTTTATTAGTTTTAATCACCTATTTAA